TATATATATATATTGCTTGCACGTAATCCCTAACTAAATTGATATCGAAATTTCAAAAGCAATATTATTCTTGCATATGGACAACGTTAAGTAACCATTGAAACTTGTTTATTATTTATAGCTGCGGCATTTTATATTGTGGAGAATTTGGGAAGGAATCAGCTGAAAATTTGAGCAAGCCTTACCCTGATTGTTGTTCGCATTGTCTTCGTGAATAATAAGCATCGTTGTTTTGAAATTTTTAATTTAATGCATCACATCTGATATTTTTTACGTGTAAATTATAAACTTTGAGTACTTTTTACGTTTGAAATAAACAGTGTACTGTATTTCATCCATACATTTGTTTTAATTTACAGTATAAATAACACAACACTCTTAATATTAATATTAATTTTTACAAATTCTTAAAAATGACACCAAGAAAGTAGTTACATACAAGTACAGAGAATGAAAATACCTTTTAGCGATTTTACATATAAATTATACTCGATTGAAAATTAAATTTATAACAGGGAAGAATACAAATGAATTTTTTGTTTCCACTGGTCGGGCGGATTACCGAAATAAAAGAGACCCATATTTTTTTTTAAATTTTTTACGTAAATAACTGACGAAGATAGAGCTTGTCAAAGTTTGAAGTGACATCACTTCCTAGTAAAACGATTACATTAAAAATGCATAATACCCTTATGATGTCACTTTGTTAATCAAGCAAGTTTAAATGCTCTATTCTTGGATTTATTTTTTTTGTTTACAAGAAAAAAAAAATTTATTTTTCTGACCTTCAAATATGCAGTTTAAAATAAAAAAAACTGTTTGAAGGACAACTGCAATCCATAAACGAAATTAGCAAAATACATAAACTATTATAATACAAACGAGTTCCATATTGGACAAATAGTAGGGGTACAGCCAACCATTCCTATATATATAAGAGAGGATACGCTAAAATCAGCAAATAAGTCGAGACTCTCTCAACCGTATTGTAGGTCATGAAGTGTGCACTAGTACTTTGTTTGTTGGCAATTGCCGTAACTTTGGTGTCGGCAAGGCCATCGTTGGGTTCGTACATATATTTCATCCCGAAAAAATGTCTTGTAAATAATTTTTTGTTCAATTGAATGACAAATAATTTTTTTAGACGAGAACGAATTCTTTCAATACACAACCCTCACTCCATGGACGTACGAAGAGTGCGAAGAAAGAGCTGCTCAAGCGAGAAAAGAGAGTAAAAGGTGTCAAAGTTACGGGTGTTTCGAGGACGATGATAAAAAGCTTATTATTCATGGAATCAAGTAAGTTTACGTATCACAAGATATTGCCGTTAAAACTAATTATCAAACAAAATTTTTCTCCCTGATTTGACTGCCACAATACTTTTTGAGAAACTAACAATAAATTTAAAAATTCGTCTGAATATTCATAACATTATATGCCATGGTAGCTGTCGGGATTAACAATGTTTTTAAAAAATACCACATCAAACATTGAGCTATCATAAAAGTGCTGGATTTATCGGTCTCTCTTACTCTTGCGGTGATCACACCGTTTCATCAAAGATCAATTTTTAAGGACATTCATCATAAATTTTCTTTTTTGATAGAATTATTGAAACCTTGAACGTATATTCGTTATACTGTATAAATATCCCACACGAAATTTCAGGTCTTTTATATATATAACTTCAAAAAAATCTCAGTTGAACACGTAACCTTGTGGAAGAATAATGTAAAATCGCCTTTGTGAGGAAACGATTTGTATAAATCTTTTAATTTTTTTTTTTCTTTGATACAATACTATTAGATAAGCATAATTTTAAATTTTCAAATGGACCCACAAGTTGGTTTTTCAATAAAATAATAAAAAAGGGGTCGAGTATGCGTAAACGCGTATATATAGATACATACATACGAGCAAAACGATTTTTCCCACTAACTGTGTGATGAACGTCCTTAAGTGCAAGCGATAAAAGTTGTTATTGTTTAATTAGTAAAAATAGTAGATTTCGTCACGATCACTGGGAGTTTGCGAAGCAATGCCCGAAGTATACCTTTGTGATCGCCGTGAATTAGCACCAGTGGCGATCTCTATTTTTCCTACCACGGGCGTTGTACTTAAATAACAGAAATACTTGTACAAGCCAATCATAAAATGACATCATATTTCTTGGATTATTTTCAGCTGTACACTCAGCAATGGAGTTTTCATTCCCTTTGATTAAAAGATCATCAACGGTGGACAATCAAGTGCACAATTTTTGTTGAAATAAATACTTTTTAATGTCAAGCACATGCAAGTAGTTCGACATGTAATAAATATAATAACAAAATATCAAATGTATGTTTTTTTAGCACTTTTATACGCCTTCTTATGTTGACGGTTGCAAAAAAAAGTAATTGTTTGACTCAAAATTATTAAAGCACAATAACGTAAATGATTTATATAATCACAAGTACGTGACTAGATAATTATGTTATTTTCGTAATCCATACAAGCCAAAATAAAACCAAGTTCGTCCAGTGCACACTTAACGCGGGAATAACTAGATGGATTTTAATGAAACGTGGCGCTGTGGTGGCATTCGTTATGGGCCAGGATTTAGGATTTTTTTGTATCATTTTATCTTAAAAATATTTAACGAAAGTATTGACAATTACATCTACCTCTAGTCAGAAATTCTTCTGAAGTCACCGACTCATCGTTGTGTGAGCAAATGGCTTTTTAAATTAAAAAAATGATTTCGAGGACACTGTGAAGAAAGTAAAATGTAGGGTAAAAGGTAGATTTTTCTATCAAAATCCCCAAGCAGGGCTTCCAAGAATTTATTCAAGGTAATAACAAAATGAAACTCAGAGTTGATTTTTTATATTACTCTACCTTGTGCAATTCTTTTTTATCTTGATGGTCACTTTAGCTTTTGATTGTCAAGTTTTGCTAAGCCTTGTGTGATTTACTTTAGTATAATAATCCCATCAGCTTCTTAGTGTTATAATAAAGTATACGTATAAAGGATGTTTATTTAATTATTTTATACAGGAGGTTTATAAAAACTTTTAAATCTATGCATTTACTTTATATTTTATATACGTACTTAATATTTTTCATCATTTTGAAAACATTTTGAGTCTTGAATAGAAAAATTAATTATTTTGCGTGAAAAAGTAAACAAAAAAGCAGCATGAAATTGCTCCAGTTATTCGGTGTATCCTAATTCTAATACCTAATATTTTTTCACGTTATATCGACAGCAGAAAATTTTTTTGCTGTGCGTATGAATTATTATACCGGAATATCACAACTCTTAAAATTTACTGACTTCCACATGGCTTATCAACTTCCATATGGTTTACCTACTTCCATATGGTCTCCTACTTCCATATGGTTTACTTCATTTGAAACAAAAGCCATGTGGTTTTTCCATATGGTAAATGTAAATGGTTTTTTTCAATAGAGTATAGCTTCCATGCGTTGGAAGCATACACGTCATGAACCAATTGCATAGGTTCAAAGAAAGGGGGGCATTTCCATCGCCGCTATGCGTTTGCTCCATGATTTTTCCCTCGGTGAAGAAGGGGTGAACTGAATGTGCGCCTCCGAGGAGAGAAGTGGATTCGCGTGTAAATAACTACATATATACATTTATATACATATTTATAGCCACACGTTTGTATATACATACTTATTCATGCATACTCGTTAAGAAATGTATTTACACTTGAATAATGACTTGAGGGGCAGTGAATAAGCACACGATCTGTTTAGAGCTAATCAAGAAGTGAAAAGAAAAACTCCAAAATGTCGTATGTTTGTTTGAGCAACGTTTTGTTGGTCTTAACGCCAATGTTATCAGGCTCACTTTATTAACAGAAAAACACAACAAAAAAACACAACAGAAACAAAACAAATTTTGTAAATACATTGTAGGGAGCCTACTTACAATACCTTAACAAGATATACATACATATCTTCCTATATTATGTAGTTATCTCGGTGGAGCATTCCACACAACCCCCCGCAGACCCCCAATCACCCCCCCTATCGCACCTCACTGCCACCCCACAAAAAAGGTAAAAACCCGTCATTTTCTCACTTATTTGATACATTGCAGTTTTTTTCAAAAACTCCACAGATCCCGTACAGACCCCCACATAATTTTTCGTGACCACAACCCCCCACACTACATTTAGGGTATCTGACAAGTATCATACGGCCTTTCTCGGACCTTGATGTATATACAGACGTGTTTAATACTAAGTAGTTTTGAGTTATAATTGATTTATAGGGAGTCGTTGCGCAAAGCGTAAATTACATTTAGTTTACCATTAATACGAACCGCGAAAGTTTCTCATTAAGATGACTCATTTTATGAGTCAACTTAGAAAGCCCTATTAAACCATGAAGACTGAGGTCTATTCCTAATCTGTTTTAAATTAATGTTGAAATTAGTACAATAGTTAAACACAATACACATTCATGGGATGTATTATAAGGTAATAAATTTCGTCTATACATATAAGAATATTGAATTCATTTTATTATTAAAAACATTTTTACTTATAATTAAAAATTTCGTTCCAAACTGTATTTTAAATATTACAATGTTTTATTTATACTCCCAACGAAAGTANCATATTAATATTTTTTGTTAAAGACACATAATAAGGGAAGCGGCAATAAATTGTTTTAATTTTCAATGATGAAAAACTTTGTATTTTTTTGTACCAACATGTGACGGAAGCGCACAGCGGGTAATGTGTCATTTGGGCGGAGAGCCAAAATTGCATCACACGAGTACGCAAACACGATTTTTCATTTTAGATTTTTTACACAAAAGAGAGAGGTAACTATATTAAAGACTCAAATGTACGCACCTCCTAGGAGGAAAAGAGAGGACAAGTATCCAAGCTCGTGGATTGAATTTATGAATAAATTTCGCTCTCGCAAGCTCATCTTCTTTCGCCATACATTCTGGATCCGATTGCGTGATGGTATGCGGGACTTTGCATGCACGCCGCGACTTTTAAGGTTTGGAAACCGTAAATAGAATTCGACGAGCGTTTACGACCCGATGTAAGACCGTTTGTCATTTATGTTGTATTATCTAATGTCAGTAGAGTCTAAAGTGTGTACTTGATTGAAACTTAATTCAACTTATACAAGTAACGAATCATTCGTCTATCGTGTCCTCAGGTTTGGAAAAACCGGGCTAACTTTTTTATCATTGATTTGCAAATTAAATCGTTAAAACTCAGAAAAATCGTCTCAGTCTGAAAATAAGCTGTAAATTGATAAAATTGTTTTTGGCTGATTTCATTGGAAATTTTGATAAAAAACAAATTTGGTTTTTTTTTTTTTAACCCAACTGCAATAGAAAAATTCTTTTTATTCGTGATTAAAATTACACGTACAAATTCAATTTTGTTAAAAAAAAAAAGACACTTGCACTTGATTTATGGCGAAAAACAAACAAACGGGTAAATTATATGTGATATCGTTGTTATGATCGGTACCCAAAAACCGCAATAAAAATAAAAACTCGTTTTAACGTCTTCAATTAGTGAAATCGGATCCGGTGCGCTGCACACGGAGAAACTATATTAGAATCAAGAGAATGCAGTCGCACTACAATTAAATGGCCACGCATGCACACACACACACACACACTTACACTGTACTTGCGAATAAAACAAGCGAAACGGTAGCAGCGACCGGAGATCAGATCTTTTTTCGTACCCAGTAAACTGACAGTGGGCATTTTTAGAGGTGTATAAGTTACGGGCCAATGTACGTGGGTTGGAATTTTTCTTTGTGTCTTTGTACCTTAGAATAAGTTTAAAAAAAAAAAAAACAAACAAAGACCTGGCCCAAGAGTGATTCGAGACGGGTGAAAATTTGGTGGGAAAAAATTGTTTATCATCATAATACATATAGAATTTATCATTTTTCCTGTAGATAAAACTAAATACCAAATGTTCTTTGTTTGAAAAAAAAAAAAAAAAATACGTCACAATCATTTTAAACAATTATGTCCATCGTGACACAAAAATAGTTGTACCAAAGTCATACTTTCTCTGATCTACGTTGTCCAGAACAACCATAAGCCGATTTACCGATGAAAGCACTCTTTTGAGACCAATGTCCGATAAGCTTCAAGATAAAATTAATGCAGTATATTATTAATATTATTATTGTTCTGAAATGTGCCTTTACTTTTTGTAGAACAAAGAGACCCCATTTCAAAATCCGCGTAAAACGCTTTCGACCGAGTTACGATCTCTCTCTCTCTCTCTCTCGTGTGTACTTGTGTGAATTAAACTTTCTAATACCAATTAAAGTAACAAACCATAGATAAAATTTACTTTCGGACGTGCTCATATGTATAAATAACGGAGCAAAACATTAAAGGCAGATCGAGCCAGGGAAATAATCGTCAAACGATGAGGAAAAAACGTTCCTCGAGCAAAAGTTATTGTAAAAAAATATAGCGTATATCTGGTAAGTTGTATCGGCCCAAACGAAGAACATGTATATTAATATAGTGGATAAAAAATAAAAAGTGGAAAACCCGATTGGAAAAACAAAGATTACGAGGGAGCTCGTGTACGCATACCTATACATACATGTATGTACACCGTTTATAAATAGCCTCACGGTACAGAGACGACACGCGCAGCATCCACTGTCGGCGCACTTATATTTACATGTATTTACACACACCGGTTCGTAACACGCACACACGCGTCAAAAAGAGACGCAAATTTCGTTATGGAGCGGAGAAAAAAAGCAAAAAAAGGTATATAACGGAGATGAGTGGGTGATTAACAGCCCAGAGGCGCGCTCGCGGTAGCCGATCACCCGAATCGATACATCACTAATCTCGCGATAACCGTATAAAATTTGAAAAAAAAAAAAAAAAAACAAAAAAAAGAAAAAAAAACGTGTTTGCTGGATTGAGAGAAAAATAAAGATAAAAAATTTACACGCAGTCCGCCCTATATTAGCGAGCGCGACGGAAATCGCTGAGCACGCCGAGGCTGACTAAAGGCGCGCGAATAGATCAGCGCGCGGAAGATGCGTTCTCCCGGGAGCCTTGAGCCGCCGCTGTTGTAGCCGTTGCTGCTGGTGATTCGAGTCGCCGTGTGACGATGGACGAGGGGAATGAAAAAAGGATGGCGGACGCCTGTGACGTCTTCCTGGGGCATTTTTGTTTTCAAAAGATGAAATTTTTTTTTTTTTTTTTAATGAAGCATCACTCTCAGCTCGGTGTTTACAACATCAAGTATATTACTCTCTTAGAGAGAAAAAAAGTTGAGCGTTGAGTGGGATTTGTGAGCTTTCGCAAGTGAGAAAAATGTTTTTGTGGTTTCGCTTGAATTTGATGAGTTGAGCTGCTGTGGTATCGTTCCAAAGAAGGGGGACAAAAAAAAAAGAGATAAAATGCTGATGAAACGGCTAAAGTCGATGTGCACGTGAGTCATTGATATACATTTACACGCACGAGCGAGTCGAGCTTATGGAAAAATTATGCCTAGAATATTTTCAACAACCACAGCTATACAACAGAACGACGACGATTGTTCCGCTGAGATTGTGACTCGAGAAATCCGTCCAACCTACTCTTGTCATTACTATTTCTGTAGATGAAGACTATACAATTAAGAGCTTGTAAAAGATATAAAAAGGTCACGTTTGATTATTAAAGTATTGCAATTATTCTTAAATTAGCCAGTTATTTATTTTTTTTTTTTTTTTATTAATTCCAGAGCATGAGTTCTTGTCGATCGGGAACAAAAAATATCGATAAACAACTTCTCCTATGACGTATAACATCATTTTTTAATAACTTGTGGACGTGTACGCCCAATTTCACATGGAGATATTAAGTAGGAAACTTTTTGTAATTAATTTCGCGTTGTGCCCGTGGGGTACGATACGATTTATTTACATGTATTTAGCATAGGCCAATAAATTTGTTCCAAATTGTACGAGCTCTGTATCAATTAGTTTCTTGTTATTTCAGTACTACGTTACAATGTGTGTTTTTACTTGAAAATAAGTAAAAAAAAAAAAAAAAAAAAAAAAAGTTTAGCTTACGTTGTGATTCTTGGCTTTATTGCTTCGTGGATCGAAAAGTCAGTCGATAAAAAAAGACGTTGAAAAAACTCCTTGACAATCTAATCGATCGTACCTACGAATTTTACCTTATGTACGGCAGTAAATTTACCTCCTTAAATCTTGGATGGCACGTATATTTCCTTGTTTACTATAAAATGTAAAAAGATAAAGCAGTTGAGCACTTATCGTCGTGGAAGGCAAACCAGCACGTATTTTTGTTAGAAAAGAAGTGGGGAACGTATAGTATAAATGCCGTACAACTAAAACACTGATTGTACTAAGAAAGTAAGCTTAGAAGAGAAGGAATCTAGTCGCATTCCGAATTATCATCAGCAAACATGAAGTTTTTCTTGAGTTTTGCTGTTGTTTTATACGTAACAACTTTTGCTACCTACGGAGAAGGTAAATATTGATATTTTAAAACATATTTTAACCACATTGTTACCACAATACTTTATACAGTCCTACGCCCTCTTTGTCCAGTTTTCGTTCTAAGTAATTTGGCCGATCGAAACAATAAAGGTAAATACCTGTACATTCGACTCTAAATAGTTTCATAAACTCAGGAACGTTAACTGCTGTGCCAATGGTCAGTTACTATTATTATTTTTTTTTTTTTTTTAATTATACCTCACAATTTTTTAAGCATTGCCATTTAAAGAATGTAATTTTTACATTTACTTATGTGTATATTTACAGTTGTAATAATCGAATATTCTATAATTTATATCAAAAGATAATAATGATGAACCCCATGATCATCAAGTTTTCAAGAGCATTGGTTTTAAATTAACAGTGTGCTACTGATTTTTGATTAAACAAATTTTTAACTAATTACATTTTGGCTTTTCACATCACTTGTTAATCCCTTTTTTTTACAATTTCGTTTTTTTTTTTTTTTTTTTTAATGAACATTAGTGCATTCAGACATATTATGTACGAAGTCATGTTTTATAACTTTTGTTAATACCATAGGGATGTTGAACTGGTTTTAACAACTTATCCATTCAGACTGTGAAAATCACTGAAACAAGTTACTCAGTTTATGCAAAAAACTAAGCAAAACTGAGGCCGCAGTAAACATCCTAAGGTCAAAAAAACGCCCAAAGTAGGAAAAATATATATTTTTTTGAGATTCCTAGATTCTTCCTTGAAGCCAAATGTATCAGATTTCAACTATTTGAATTATACTTCAAAAAACTTAATTAAAAAAAATTTCTTTTTAAATCTCTTTTGTACTATTACGGCATGTACATCATTTTTTTCTTGGCCCAACAGTAAGTTTTAAAAAATCTATAACTTTTCTTGACTGCAGACGTTTCTTGAGAGATACGTTTTTTTTCAAGCTCTGCATTGCTGAGGATTTTTTCCTGAGTTTGTAATCACTATACTGAGCAATGACATTAAAAAATTAAGCTACCCTCAAGAGTCCAACTTGAAGTAAACAATAATTTAATAACATATTATGTAAACACGTACAAAATACTCTACGGAAGTTATAAGACGTACATTGACTACACGAACTTCGTGGCAAAAATTCGTTTTAAACTAATAAGACGCAAAAAAATGCTACACTTTTTACCATAATGTACTTGTGTACGGAGTTAATGCAGCAAAAAAAAAAAAAAAAAAAAAAATGTTTACAACACAAATTATCATATTATTAAAACTTTCAGTTGATGGTTTCACATTGTTAGCGAGCAATTATTGGTGTATTTATTATGAATATTTTTTCAAAAAACTGAAAAGTATGACGAGCTGCCCTATGAAATAAAGTCCTCTCACGTAAAGTGATAGATAAAATAAATTTAATTGAATTTTTATTTCAGCAATCCCCAATCAACGGAGCAAACGTGCCATATCCATAGAGAATTGTCCGGATGATAAGTCAAAAGAGGGAAAATGTAAGGACTACTTTGAGGAACAATTGCAAATGTACCGCGACCAAGGACAATGCATAGATTACGTAGGAGACGATACCCAAGTTCAATGGCAGACGTAAGTTGGATATGTGTTTTACCTCATATGGAAATTGTCGAATATTTCGCTTCTGCGAGCATTCACTCCTGTAAAATAATATATAAATTTCGTATTAATACGAAACTCGTTCGAAAAGGCTTCTTTACGAACCTCGCCTTCGGCTCGTGCCGTAAACCTCTCGGTTCGTAAATCGAAGCCTTTGCAAACTTGTGTACGCATTATACTATTATATGTATAAAATTTCAGTTGTGGATCAGTACTTTGTTCAGAAGACTTGGTGAAACGTTCCGACCCAAGCAAACCGTATCCTGACTGCTGCCCGAAGTGCTACCATCCTTACGAATAATTTGGCACAATCGCATGAATTACATTACTTATATGAAATATACAGTATATTAAATGGTTAAGGATTTAAGAGCTTGTAANAGAAGCCAACAGTTTGAGATAATACTTTTCAGTAAAAATTGAATTGGTTATTAATAAGAAGAGTAATTGAAATATCGTTAACAAATAACTATAAACTCACGTAAAAAATACGATGATATTACCAATGGGAGTCGTCGCATAAAAAAAAAAAATCAAAAAAAAAAAAAAAAAAAAAAAAAAAAAAACCAAGTGAGTACTGATTTTTCTATCAAGTTCAGCAAGTTCTACACCCCCTCCTCACGACAATCGACTAAATCCAGTACTGACTCATAATATTATTTGCAGTCACTCAAGAAATTAACATTTTTCAGCACTTATAAAAATCACAATAACAAAATGTGTATTTCATTTGGTACATAAAATCAAATTGTGTATTATATACTTTCACTATAATTTTGCTCAGAGTACAGTTAGAATGTATATTCACTTTAAAAGTAATACAAATCCCTTGAATTTAGACGATATAATTAAATCAAAAAAGTGAATTTGAACGAAAGTCACGAGTGAATGAAGTTACATATAGCAAGCGGCATCATATTCGTAAACCGGGAAAGCCAAAAACGTCACATGGTATAAATAAATCCACGCATTAGATCAAACCAAATGTTTTTTTTTTTTTTTTTTTTCTATCTATTTAAACACGTCGTGATATTTGAGTACAGAAATTGCAACCGATTTTCTCTCAAACCGAAGTGCCGCCTTTTGTTTCGCATAAACTTTTGAATGCTCTGGAATGGAAACTAGTTTCTGCGACATAAGGAGCTCGAAAAAGATTTGTCTTTCAACAAGGAAGTCGGCAGGCTCGAGATAGAGAGAGAGCGAGTCTGCACGCAAGGAGTAAAAGCCACCTATACGTGCACAAGCGTGCACATAATGAAATTTTATCCTTTTTATCGATGTTACGTAAAAACCGCCTTACGTGTAGCACATACTGCAGAGACTAAAAGAAAAAAAAAAAAAAACAATGAACCGGGGAAACCAAATATATATAAGGAGGGAAAATTTTCACAGCCGAGCCCGTTCGAAATATTGGACCGAGGGACAACCGTTGCAACACCGAAGGGGTCCTGATTGCCTTGTTCCGCGGTTAATAAAATCGGTCGCGAACAAAAATGAAACTGCCCGTCGCGTTGTGCTCGTGCGTTCTCTTGGCTGCGGTCATCATCGGTGCGGCTTACGAATACGAAGTGGTCAGAGGTACATAATAATATATTATACTTGGGGCCCGAACATTGAGAGCATATGGTTCACGCAAAGTGTTTGTCAAAAACGTATAGTCACTCGTGACACTTGCAACGTAAGTACGTAACGTGTATCAAATTGCAGAAATCACCAAAGCCGATGAGGTGTTTCGCGAGGAGTACTGCCAACCGGCCAAAAATATAGCACCGGACGGTAAATGCTCGAGTCTCCGATGCAACAAAGACAACACCAAAACTATTAAAATTGCGTGAGTCGTTTTAAAAAAATTTCCTTGCTTATACTGTATAATGGAGAGCAGCAATGTCGAAGTATGTACTTTTGTTTGTGTGTCGGACAGATGTGCCGAGGCGCGATGCAGCGGCAAAACCGTCGACTTCAAAGGTGACCCGAACAAGCCGTACCCCGACTGCTGCAAGATACCGATCTGCGAGGAATCCAACGATTAACTCGGGGCGCTGCATTGTGATTTGTACGAAAACGAGATGGAAAGTCTGAATAAAATTCTTTTCAAACTTTTTCGATCCTTTTACTACAATTTGCCGAGAAAAAAAAAATAATAATCAAACGCCACGTGCCGCTTTGCAAGGAACAATACCGGTAGCTCAATGGATGATCCACCATCGATCTATTGAGCGCGCGATGAATCGTCGAGTTACCTGTGCACCCAATGTTGTTAAACACACGGCGAGCAAAGGAATTGACAACATTTACTTTTTTTACTCAAGCTTTGTAAGATTTGACTCACCCGGAACTGGATCCCGCAGTGTTGTCGATGTATGGCTGTTGCACCGAAATTCCACTGCTGCTGCCGTTGTTCATACTATTGTTCGACAGAGCGGCCGAATTGGCCGTCCCGTTGTTTCCTGCCTCGAGGGATGAAAACGCGTTGTTGTTGTTGTTGCCGGTACTGCCGCTGGTGGTGTTCTTTGAGAAACCGGTCGCGCTTATGGTCACGTTTGCCGGATTCGTGCTGGAGTTGGCTTGCTGATCGTTGTCGCTCGAGCCCGACGTCGACGACGAGGATGATCGCCGGTGTTTGACGGAGGACCACATGTCCACCTTGCCAAAGATCGAGACGCCACCGACAGGTTTCTGGAAATCATTCAAACGAACGGCGTTTTATTGCAGGCTGGCAATGAGTAACGGAAAGACGTTGTGTTCGTCGTGTCGCGTATGCTCGACCTTTTTTGCAAGATCCGAGGGATTGTCTGGTAGCTTGAACTCCTTGGCAGCTGTGTTGAAGAGATCGTCGTCGTCGTCGTCGTCCTCGAACAGTCCTTTCCCTTTGTCGTTCATCTCTGGTGTGCTGGTGGTGATGGTGCTCGTGCTGTCAACTTTCAGATGCTGTTTGTTCATGACATCTGATTTCACAGCTTCTCGCTCGGAAGCGAATATGTTCTTTGAGGCTTTATTCGAAAATATGTCGTCCGAGTCTTCCGAGTCATCGGCATCCCCGAATAGATCGTCTATCGTTGATTTCGGAGCCGATGCTAAAATTCGTGGGTCATCTTTAGTTACAAGAGTACTGTCGCATGAAATGCATTAAAAATATACTCATACTTACACATGTTGCTCAATGGTGGTGGTACATCAATGCTTGCAGGAATTATATTTTTATTTACAGGCCTGACAGGCTTATTCGTCCACAAGGGGGGCGAAGTTTCATTAGAAAATAGATTCTTTCCCTGACTAAATAAGTCTTCAGGTTTGTTCTTGGATGAACTTTGGTCTTCTTCAGGGTTAAAAATATCCTCTGAAAAATATATTTTTCAACTAGAGGGATGAATTTTGTGGTTTTCAAAATTAAAAACTTTTCAGAAACGTACCTTCTACATTTCTTATGACCGGCTCATTTGCATCTCGAGCCATTACATTTCTCTCAGGTGGCATCACGCTGCCTAGTCTCTTGGCTAATTCTTCGGCAAAACTTGATGAAACGTTACTTATATGTTGAGTCTAAAAAATTATTTAAACAAATCATTTAATGGAGATATTTAAACAATACTAGAATTCATATATGAAAAACGTGGTACCTTTGGTAAAACGCTAGAAGGAGTTGTAGGTTCTGTATCTGAGTTTAGAGTATCCTGACTCCTACCATACAGTCTACTCTTATCAACATCTTTAATACTGCTACTTTCAACATTAAAGTCGTTAGACTCACTTGAGGTGGATGACATTCTTCCAGGACCCATATTATCACGAGTATGGGAACTTAATACGTTTGGAATTTTTTTGTTATCTGCATCACTAGATGAATCTTCTTCATCTTCCTGTTCTGATTCACTACTACTCGTCTCCAAACCAACTTTAGTAGATGCATTCCACTTCTCTGAACCCATAACATATGGTAGGGGTCTATCTTTGTACGGATCTTTTGGCCTGTATATTACACTATCAAAAATCATAAAATTATAGCTTAAACTGTTGTCAAAGTATTGATAATTTTACGACAAAGATGAAATAGTTTACCTTGGTAATGTATTGTCATCATCATCCTCGCTGTCACTAGCTATAACTTCCACTCGTTCAAACTTCTCATTCATTATTTTCAAACCTTCTCTTATACTTTCACAGACCCTTTCTAACATATCTGCGTCGTTAAGTTCCTCCTCAATCTCTTTCTGTAAGTAAAAATTATAGGATATTTTATAGTTGAGTAACTGACACGTAACGATATTGGTTAAAGATTTTTTAGACAATTACTGTTTTATCATCTTCAGGAGGCTGTTCTATTTCAGTATTATCCTCTTGCACTCTACTTTCGATGAATTGTGAATTGGACAAGGCCATTGAGGTATTCGTAATATTATCAACTAATAATGATGTTTGATTTAATTGATCTGTCAGAGAATTGATAGTACCGTAAGTTTCATTTGCTCTTTTCACTAAATTCTGTAAAAAAAAATAGAGTTTGTATTGATAAATAATATACGTGACTTAAAAACTACACGTATCATTTTTGATATTGACCTCTGAAAATTCCTGTAGATGATTCAAGAGACCAGAGTCCGCAGCAAGACTCCAGTCCCTCCGATTCTTTCGCATTTCATCCGTACTCCACGCATGGTCCCATGACTTATCAATACCGCTAGATCCAGTCGTACTTTCCTATAATATGCACAACAAAATAATTTTCACTCACATAGATATGCACCAATTATATAATTGTAGTTATTGTTGTACATTCGTTATATATTTAAATATATATATATATATATATTTAAATATATAACGAATGTACAACAATAACTACAANATATATATATCATGTAGTTTAAATGTGCAACAAAGTTAATGTGACAATTAATAAATTAGCTAATTGTACAATAATAAAAACTAAAGGTACATTGGTGCAAACACTACAAATACTTCTATGAAGACAAATGAGCCCTTTAAAAGACAACAAATATTATTATTATGTGTGGATAAAAATTATATCCATTGTATTGATGAGAAATGGCAATTGTAACACGATCACTAATGTATCAATAGATCATTGCAACACTCTCTTCCAGGAAATGTATAGCAACAATTTCAAAGCTCAGAAAAATTGAATGACTACTTGATGGTAAGCTGCATGTATATACAATAACACAATAATGCACTTTTGCTCCAAAATAACACTGCTTTGTAATACTTGATATACAAACGTGTACAACTATTGCTTTGAAAAAGAAACACAAACCATGTCGACATCCACACAGCTGTTGAGTTTGTTGAAGAAAATGCAGATAACAACACCGATTGAAGGTTTCAAATAAGATTGTCTGTCCTCGACCGCTTTTCCGTCTTGACACCTTGGGTACAGTATTTGACACTGCAGGGAAGAAGCAGTGAAACCAAGTCCTACACACAACAACTAAGTATACAAAAACAACAACAACAAAAACAATGCCCAAGACCGTGGATTTCTGTTGTTTTTTTGAGGTATCCTCGTCAAAGATAAAGCTTACACAAATGTACTGTTGCTCTTTGTGCCATGTTGAATCGCTGATTATTAATACAATCTAATCACAAGCACACGCGCCATAGGTTTGTTCAAGCCAATTCTCGGTGAGACTCGGAGAGACTCTGAGAATGTATATGCACACGTTAGGTTAGATAAGTACAAAAAGTAAACAGAAACAGAATGTCTTAGAATAGAGTGAATCTTTTCATTTATCTAACCTAACGTGTGCATACATATTCTCGGGACAGTCAGAGCTGTCAGTCTCTCGGAGACACTCGGAGAAGAACACTTGTTATTCCATTCTCGGAGGCTCCCAGAGTCTCTCCGAGTTTCACCGAGAATTGGCTTGAACAAACCTCATACTATAACATCATTAGGTAGGTACGTATACTTTTATGCACTATGCAGTCTATGCACTTGTAATAAAATACTGTATATATGGGGTGTGTTCCAGTAACGCTCTCCGACAACTTACCGACAACTTAATTATGTCTTACGATATCTTACGTCATGTTTAAGTTGTCGGTAAGTTGTCGGAGAGCGCTACTGGAACACACGGATGGACGGGCTGTACCCTACCTAACCCAACTTACTCCGGAGTCCGGCGATTTTTGACAACCCATCACATGTGACGTATCTGATCACTTACACAGATTTTTATTTCTCAATTTTTATTGGCTAATTCTGTTAAGCTACCTTTTTTCATTAGTGGAAATCATGTTTTGCAGGTCGTGTATTAAACGACATCGGGTACAACAAAGTAGAATTGAAAAGACATTTTTTTTTTTTATAATGGGTACTTTTGCACCGTTGCCTGCAATTACAATATTACACAAGATTTAGTTCATAATTCGTTTTCTTTATTTCTTTAAAATTATTGATGTATGTAGTTGATCACACTCCCCTTTGAAATTACGAATCAGTTAATGATCGCGTAGATCAATTGATTTTTACAAACGAAAACGAAAAAAAGTATAACAATCTGCTCGAATTGATTCAGTGATTAAATACTCCCGCGATATCTCTATCTCTCCAATCAACTCCTGCTGTGGCGGTGTGTCGTCGTCGTCGTCGTGCCGCGCCTCCTCCCCCCCCCCTCCTCGCGCGGTACCCATCGCCAAAGTCGATAAAAATATATGTTGTAAAATCAGCTTTCTTTGCGACTGCAAAGGCTGCAATGTCTGCAATCATGAAGAAAAGAAAGTGACGAAGTGCAACTTCTCTAAAAAGAGTGTGTCCAGTAAAAACATCTAAGTTATCGAGTGGCTACGAAAAATCATCACAAAGCGTGTCCTGTATCGGACAAGAGGCCACAGGCTGCTCGCGAGTTTTTTTATACCATTAAAAGTATTTCTCTAATTAGATATCAGCTCGAATTTCAGACACGTAAACAAACAGAGAGGACATGTAGGAGGGGAGAAAAAAAAGATACTCGGAGGTAAGGTGATGCTTTTCTAAATAGGCAGATAGATTTATGTATAAGTAATACTTTTAGGATAATTGTATGGTTGGTGTAGCTCAAAACGAAAAACCTTTTGCCTGGAAGTATAAGTGTTCTCACCGAAACTTTTGCTCATCAGCTCAAAGAGGGACAGAACCTATGCTTGTAATTTTCTCTCTCTCTTTGGTTGCGTTTACAGCTGCCGTGTGTCGTAAGTGCGATCGAAAAAAAAATATACTTTGGCTCCTAAACTGTCCCTATAAAGTGTAATCGTTCGACTACGGTTAGTTCGATAGTCGTGTGCATGTGTTTTTTTATCATTCAAGGAAAGGATTGTTTTAGATAATAGTAAAAATACACGGTTATTTAATTTTCTCTGTGGTATACAGTACATATACTCGTTGTTGAAGCTCCTGCGTATACTTCGATATAAGCAACGTCAATACAGCTGTTTTCTTTTTCTGCTTTTGGAAAAGGGACGAAAAGCGAAAGGGGAATACGAAGAGGATGGTTGATTTATTGCCCTGGAATGATCAGTTTTTGCTTACTATACCGGAGGTGCACTGTACAATTTTGGGTGTATAAGTACTTATGTGTTGATCGGGCATACTAGCTTAGAGGGGAGAGGGGACGAATACAATTTTGATAGTGTTGAAATTTGATTTTCGGAACTTCAGTTGATATTGATCGTTTGTACTTGCGTGCTGGACAGCCATTTGTCAAATATATAGTCAAACCTTGAAATTTATGAATTATTTCGAGTGTTTGGATTAGATTCGTAGAAACAGTTGACCTTGAAATTGTATTTATGTTGTGACCTTATCTCATACACAATTGGCTTTCTTTATAATACGATTTGGAATTAGCAGTGGCATTGATAAAAGTGTTCAAATCACCTTTAATTTAATCAATCTACTTACCAGATTAACTTTATCTTTCTCATTCAATTAATTCAAGCTTCAGATATAGTTGCTTTTACCATTGCTCTTGAAAAATAATTAAGGCTTTATTTAAAGATGAAATATTTTAGTTCAATTTCTCAATTACACAACTGAAGAATAGGTATTGATGAACACATGGAAGAAATCAATTATTTTTCTTCCACCAGATCTAAAAATGAATTAAAAAATCACAATAAACAGTTGAAAATAACGTAAATAAAATGATATTCTATTTCAGGTTACTCAATGGATTGTAAGGAATTAATTGTGATGTAAGATCAGTCAAGTTTTTTATCAACCAGTTTGAAGGAAATTATACCATAAAGGTAAACATATTTAATTTCGTCCTTGAACTGAAACAAATTTCTTATAACAGTCCTTTAGATAATTAACAAAAAATTTTTTAACTTGCAGCTAAAAACAAGACTGAACCATGTTTCCAAGGTGTATATCATCTTTATGGCATATAGACAGATTCACATGTAAACATGTGAGACAGATTTGTACTCTATTGAGTTGATAATTCTCAATGTATATATCTTAGACAGTAATTCTCCGTTAAATTGGTTGAAAAAAAAAAAAAAAAAAAAAAAAAATTATTGATCAAAAAAAAAAAAAAAAAAAAGGCAACACGCTCGGTGACTTAATTTACATTAATAAGAAAAAAAGCGGGGGTCCTTGGGCACCTCCCTTTTTTTCAATTTGCCAAATTATTTCACCCTGCCGGAAAAACAAAAATCTATCTTACATGAGGCTGTGGCGACGGCCCTGTTTTGGTTTCTCACTCTCAAGGGAAAAGTAGCAGTTTCCCCCCAAGACCGATTCCGATGAACAATGAACCATTCCGGAAGCGGTAAACGCCAGGCGAAAGTTTTGGAAGAACATTATTGGGACTGCAGTGTCTGTACGTATCGCAACACAGCTGAAGCATTCAAGTGCCTAATGTGTGACGTTCGCAAAGGTACCTCGACGCGCAAGCCGCGCATCAACCCTCAGCTGGTCGCCCAGCAGGTAATATATTTTTTTTCATCCAATTACACAACAACAACATAAAATTTATAGACGACCACGCCACGAGCTTGATAAAATCGCCCGAGGCCTGGCCGTCGCGTGGAAAAAAGAACAGCCTGGTCATTGAAAGACAGCGCAATGGTCGGCAGGTGACCCAGCAGCAGTACGTGCCCCAGCTAAAGTCGGGCAAAAAGGAGCTGGCCGGTGGTGTCGGCGGCGGCTCCTCGTCTTCCGGTGGTGGGATCATCGGCACCAAGCACAAACTGGACAAGCCGAGACGTCGCTCTCGACACCCTCCGAGGCTCAAAAACATCGATCGGAGTAGCGCGATGACGAACGAGGTCACGGTCAACAATGTCACCGTTGTCATAACTGAGTATAAGCCCAAGATGAGGAAGACCACTACGTCGGCGGCGACGAGCAGCGATCAGTCGGGATTGTCGAGCAGCGCCTCGTCGGAGAACGGAAGCCAGCACGATTCCAACCAGGACTCGAGGAGTCTCGACATAAGCACCGACGCTTGAGACTACCGAATTTTCCTAAAATTTGGAGGAAAAGAAAGAGAAGTTCGATGATTATTTCAGTGAGCGAAGGACTGTAAAACATATAATGTGGCTGCTCTGCGTGCCTCGATGTGAGGGTGAATTAGGGCTGTTAAGTTGTAAATTTTATGACTACGAGCCTTAATTTACGCCCAAGAGACATTCTTCTTTGGTGTAGAGCTTATATTATAGTATACAGTTGAGTGGACCGAGTTTCGTCACGTGTACTTTCAAGAAGCACGTGATCCTTGGAAGATGTCTGAGGGACCGGATTTTCTCCGTTTGTAAATTGACATGGCTGATGATGTTTGGGGTACGTAACTGTATGAAAAATATTTCTTCAAATACTTTGTCTAGGTGGACAATTTCGAGTGCTCGAGGATCTTTCGATATTTAATAGTTGTTAAATGAATTAGTTTTATTCGTTCAAAGACCTCGGTACTTCTGGAATATTTTTCGTATAAACATTTAAGAGCCTTATTATTTATTTCAAAAATTTAATACACTTTCAGCAGAATATTTTAAATATTAAATGAAATCGGGTATAAGCTAGTCACTCAATTATTTGAATTTTAAGAAATATCGAGAAAATTCAATCGTTAATTTTCTCGTCATTTACGTGCGCTTCAAGGGCTAAAAGTAATTGAGTTTTTAGTTGGAATTTTTAATAAAATTTGAAATATCCTGCCTGCAGACTAAAAATACGCCAAAAGATTGGAGGTTTTTTTTAAATTACTATTTACTGTAGTTACGATAATTTTAATAATGAATTCGTGATATATTTATTGCTTAGTAGGGCTTCTTTTTAGCCAGACAATAAATAAGTAATTTTTTTCATATCATCTCCTTTTATGGAAACACAAAATTTTTTGATCAAGGGTAATCTGCATAAACGAAATAAATGATTATTATTGACATGAACGATTTATAAAATACAAACGTATTTCATATATCAAAATACATCAGAACATGCATAAAAAATAAATAATTAGACAACTTCTAAAATTATTACATTTGCAAGAAGAAAAAGAAAAAAAAAATACAAAAAAAATATTAAGTGATACATGACTGAAACTTGATGATTAAATAAATTACGTCTATGTAAAACGAACCATTAATTGTGAATTAATCGTAAAAAAAATTGTCCTATCAAATGGAAAATACTTAAAACCAATGTATTGTGTAACATAATATTTATTGTCCATTTCTCGCAATGTCTTTTACCAGAGACAACATACGATTTTGGTCACGCATATACATAGACGTAAAAAATAATGTAAACAAGTACATACGTCTTATGCTATTAATGGCTTGGAATTTATACAAAGCACAATTTTATAAAACCGATAAAGTTTATGATAAAGAAGGAAATTAAAAAAAAAAGTTGTTCAAGTGCCTTTGCTATTGTTTGCAAGAGTCAATGAGGAGATTTTTGTTGCAACCAGTTTTATATACTTGGGCACTTATTATTACAAACTTGATAATCACACAACCTGCCTTTTTCGATGGCTTATTTAAACTCCATGATAAATTATTATTTTACAATTTTTATAAGAAATGTCGAAAAAAGCAGTGGTTTAAAGTTTGTAATTCAAGAAAAAATCAAATACATACAAGAAAGTTTACAGCGTAAGAGTCGGAATCTAAGGCAGTTTTATACACACGTTCAACAAAAGTATACAGCCTCAACGATTATATACACATTCTAATGACAACAGTGGGTATTTCCAGATTTGATAACAAAGACCATTACTAGCATAATTTGTCGTCAACTTATAATTTATTAATATGACCACTGCCAGAGCGTCAGTTGCGAGGATTAATTGAGCATTAGAGGGAGACATGCGTAGTATTACGTGAAGCGTGCGTTTTGTGATTGATTAAAAAATTGTACACGAATCACCCGAGCTGAGTTTGCAGCTAATCGAACTTATCATTTATGAATTTTTATGTGCGAAATCATCTAAACTACGAAAATTTTGTATTGTGAAATTTGTAATAGTTTCATCAAAGTTATCTGATGCATAAATGAAGAGTTTTCATGCTTCACGTGTCTAGACTAATAAATAAAAATGATGTAAATTTAAAATTTAAGGCAGGATGCCAAAAGTTAGTGCAAAAAAAAAAATTTTGTTTTCAATGAATGAAAGGAAAGAAAAAAAATGCGTGATGTGCAAAAGTAAAAAAATAAAGCTAGAGAAATGAGGATTAAAGCTTACCAATATTTGTATGTGGTGGAAATTTGGTGATTAAGATAAGACTTTGCGTCAAAAAATGACTAATAAAACGAAAATTGTTTTTACAGCTTGTCGATTCATCAAAGCAAACATTTTTGTGAATAACGGTTCGTATTTTTGATATGTCGTTGACAAAGCCTCGCACAATTACAACGTTTGTTTTATCATTCAAACTTCGAAACAATGCATTTTTCTTTTTAGTTGATTATAAAGTTAGTATCAAAACTAGTTATCAATCTTTTATACACAGCAATACCGTTAATCGACAAGATCAAATCGTGAGTATAATTATGTGGTGATAAAATCAAAGAAAATGTTTATAATGTCGTGTAATTACTTTGACGTAGTGGAATCATAAAGTAGTATGTAAAAAACATTAGTTAATTTATGCACTGCCCCTTATTCTTTACGTAAAGCATTATTATCTTTTTTATACACTGAAAAAAAAAATTTTTTTTTCAAGTTTCAATAATATAATTTTTTCTTGCAGTATTTAAATTTCTCATCATTTATCAAATTTTTGTAAAAATGTAAACTTTTACTACATGAAGATGTAACTATTTGTGTGTTCATTAAAAATGTAAACGTTTTATACTCTGGAGCTCTTAAAAGAATTGTATGATCTTCGATTCCTTCTTAATTTGTACGAGCTCTTCCATTGAAAACAAAAATGTAAATAAACAAATATTATGTGTTCATAGAAGATGCAAAGGATCTTTGCTTTTTGAACTGAGAAAAAAAGAAAATAAAGAAAATCTTCTACTCGAGATTTGTTTTTCTTTATAACATTCATTTCAATAATGTCGTATTAAAAATTTTTTATTCAATATTTTTTTAAAATAAAAACAAGATACAAATAAACTTTTGTGAAAATGTTTCCTACCAATTGATAACAACGTATCTATTTACAGAAAAACATAAGCTTACACTTATTTTTTGTATAGATCTCGGTGTCTAGGTTTCTTTTTCTTTTTGATAAGTTTTTTAGAGTTCAGTGACCCTAAGGCAATGGATCCCAAATCTTGTGTGACATCCATCATACTTTCGTTGTGTTCCCTTTGTGTTCTTAACGCGCTATTGACTCGGGATGTAATTGGTGCTCGATCTTTGAATTTCTCAGCGACTGTAATTAAATATTATAATGGTAATGACAATAGTTGTGAAATTTCCTTTGATTTTAGTGCATACCTTCGTTAATAGTCGAAAAGTCAAGAACATTTAAATTATGAGCTTTGTTGTCACCACCAACAGCAAATATATAAGGACTGTTACAAGAAGCTTCCAAACAAATTATTTGGCCTAAATTAGATTGTTTTTCAAAAACTAATTGAGGCTCTAGATGATTTTTAACATCCCAAACTTTGATAGCTCCATTTTTATTAGAACTAATTAACAGTCCTTGACATGATGCACTCATTGATAAACCTGAAAGTTAATTTATTATTTATTATAAACTAATTAAGATAACAAATTATGAAATTTTAGTTTTAATGTAAGTATATCGTACCTGCTATTTCTTCTTCTTGAACTTGCTTTTGCCACAATGGATTATCTTGCCTAATATCAATGCATTCAATAAATCCATTATCAGTGCTTATGAAACACGTGTTAGGATCATAGTGATTCCAAACAACTTTTTCTACTTCACCAGAGGCTTGCCACACCTTTGCTTGTTCAGTTTTTCCATCAAATAGTCTTACTTTTCTATAGTGTAATGTGTATTAAATGAAAACTGAAAACTATGAATATTAGATGCAACTAAATTTTGCAAAATAAACTAACTTATCCATGCCACCAGTGAGAAGCAAATGAGCTTTTGTAGGATGCCACTTTATTGATTGAACCACTCCTTCAAAAGGACTAAATTTTGAGCTTGGAGTGCCGTTTTCCAAGTCCCACAATAGTACAGTACGATCTGCAGAGCCACTTGCTAAAATGTGACTGTAATAACGTAAATTATTTGTGTTAAACTTGTTTTCTCCTATTAATATTGTCTGCGTATTTAATCTTACTGATGAGTTTGATTCCATGCCAAGTCCAGAACTGCATCTTTATGTCCAATACGTTTGATTTTTTTTTTTTTATTTGGTTTTTTGCCCAACTTAAATACTGGACCCACGGCCCCAACTACATCCAAATCCCATACTTCAATAATTGGCGTATCATTTCCTATTGCGCACAAATTACCTGGAAAGTAACGATTGATTTTAAACATACAAATTTCTATAAATCATAAATGTTTTACTAAAAATTTGTCAAACCAGGTTTCTGTTCTCCTGGGTCAAAGTCAAGCCATTCGAAGCACAATGGGATATAAGAAAGGTAGTCATGATGGTGACAATAAAAAGAACTTTCTTCTTCATTGTAAACTATAATGAAAAATAACGTTTGTCAAAGAAACCAATTGCTTATGTAGTTAAACATATAAAACAATACTCACTATACACTTCCAAAATACTAGCTTCATCCACTATGTGACCTACCAGCAGAAGATTATCATGAGGCTTGATAATGTCATCTTCTTTCTCGGAATCATTGTCATCCTCATCTGCTACTGTTATGTTTGGATCTTTGCCGTCTTCCAAAATAGCTAGTCTATCCATGTTACAGTAAATATCTCCAGCTATAAAAACAATAATAAAATTATTCAAGAGTTCATGGACTAATTGACATAATTTAATTTGATACATACACTCCTCGTCGTAGTTGTCAAAATTAAATTCGTCTGCAGCATTAATCGATCCATCATCATCCATCTCTTCGTCCTCTGTTTTTTTCTTTTTCTTTTTATCTTTACCACCTTCGGTATCAGCATCTTCATCGCTATCATCTTCGGCTTTTAATTCCCTACAATAACATTAAAATTTATAAAAATAAAGGTATATACTGGGTACACCAAAAAACGACAAGTGTGGCTTCAATTTTAATAAACTCACTGTAACTCGGACTGTGCATCCTGAATAATAGCTTGCAGTTCCTTAGCTGATAACTCGATCTATGGTTATCAAAATTAAATTACATACAATAAGTTTAATTGATTAATTAACCATCTTATAATTACATTTTATATTGCCCGTGAGTTGAAAATCTAACCTTGTCTGGCACTTTAGCGGCAACTCCTTGTTTAACCCACGCCAAGCAGGATATGTAGTTTCTTGATTCAGCATCTGGTATTTCTTCGTCCATTGTACTTACTTGATTAAAAAGAGACACTCCCTTAAAAAAATTAAATGAAAATATTGCTTATGCGAATAAAATAATTGTAGACGGGAAGAGGCGTGATACCCGACCTACCCGTCTTGTGCCGACGTGCCGTGACCGTAAACGTGACAACGTGTGAACTGTGAGAGAAAAAAATATCACGTTGGTTAGGTTGGGAGTTCAATTCGGGTATATCACGCCTCTTCCTGTCTACAATTATTTTATTCGCTTAAGCAATACTTTCATTTTATTTTTTTAAGGGATGTGTCTTTTTTTAATTAAGGACGAAGGTGATCATTTAAAAAAAAAAAAAGGATAATATGAGCAATTGTAAAACGGCAGTTTTTGGTTTGCAAAATGCCTCGTTAGATGGAGGTAGTTGTACAGCTGCAGAGTCCTTCTATACCAACGGCTGACTGACTCGCTTTTGAAAATTTGATTGTCAGCCATCGGCATACCAGGATTCCTCATTCCTACAACAGTCTAGAATTAACGCCACCTAGCGTGACAATCAATGAACTAAAAGCACACAGTTTTTCTGTCTTTCTGACCGTGTGACCGTCACTGATATAGTCACTGCCTTGGGCTGAAGCAAATGGTATTGTGACAATAATCGTACATACCCGGGATACCTACACCCTGCACCGTGGCAGATTTACCTCTCTCCATTTGTATTATATAATATATGTGAATTCCCAGGCTTTACAACAACGTTTTTAATGTGCTGCGTCACCTCTTTTAATTCGGAGGTTGAGTTTTGGAGTCATTACGTTGATTAAAATGTTACAAGTTTTACATTTATGAGCAAGAAAACTCCAAGTTCCAAAAGCTTGTATTCGATTTGCACCGTCAATTAAACGTATTATAAAAGTAAGTACCTACAAATGTATTACTTTGCTATGACCAAAAGTTTGTCTTGTAATGCCTTAGCTTTTCTTTTTCCATAACACTTTTAGCATTAGTTTTATGAAACATTTATTTTTAATTGAAATAAGCTCAAGTAGTTTCGTTAAATATGTAATTAGTAAATCAAATAATATTTTCAACACATACGGCTCTTTGAGGTTATACTGTATAACATAATGATTACATTATTGTTTACTGTACAAAAACTCTTGAAATGATTTTACTACATTTCAGAATGAACAGTTCATCAGACCCACGTAGATCTGATAAGGAGATCAGGTACAGACCATCAGCAGTCAGCAGTCAAGCTCAACCAGGGGATGATCTAACACCTGACTACATGAATATCTTGGGTATGATTTTCAGCATGTGTGGTTTAATGATGAGGCTAAAGTGGTGTGCCTGGGTGGCTCTTTACTGCTCTTGTATAAGTTTTGCTAATTCGCGAATCAGCGACGATACCAAACAGATACTTAGCAGCTTTATGCTGTCTATATCAGCTGTAGTCATGTCCTATCTGCAAAATCCACAGCCAATGACTCCACCGTGGGCAACTGCTGCTACTCTATAGTGAAGTGTTACGGTAAATTGAAAAAAAAAAAAGTTTTACAGACTTACGGCAGAGTGATAACGTCAATCATCCGATCTACTAAAGATTGATATGGAATTTTTTTATTTTTTGGACAGATAGAGGAATGAAAATAATCATTTATGTAACTTTATACCAGTGAACAAAGTTATAAAGTATTAAAGCAACACAAAATAAAAATTTTCATGGATCGTTTGAAGGTTATAAATAACTAATACCATACATCGAAATTAACTCTCAACTACAAACTGCAATTTTATTGAAAGGACGAGATTTCAGCGAGTACGACCCCCGCTAATAAATCACAGCACTATACTTACAATTACAATGATAAACTCTTTATTAATAGAAAAAGCCAAAATAAAATAATGTCAGCAATAATCGTAGATTGTTGCATAAAGCAGAGAAAACGGTTTAGCATATGTGCTTACAACGGCCGAAACAAAACTGGCCGTGCAACGCTGTCTATCGTAAACTGTCTATTCGCTCCGAGCCGATGCAGAGGTTGCGCCCCCTCTAGCCAAAATCGGGCAAAATTTCTTGCATGTAAACAAACGGTTTAGAACATATATACATACGTACAGCTGCTTGTGATTGGCACTTGGCACTTGGCAAGCTAGAGAGAGAACGACGATCCTCTCCTGCTGTCTTATTCAGCCAATCACAAGCAGCTATACGCATGTATATATGTTCTAAACCGTTTGTTTACATGCAAGAAATGTTGCCTGATTTTGGCTAGAGGGAGCGCAACCTCTGTATCGGCTCGGAGCGAATAAGTACACGGTACAGGCACGCACATAACTTGGTAGCGCCTTACTGATACTTACATTGTATCAATAAAAAAAAGGTCAACATTTCGCTATTTAACACGATCTCTCTAAATTATAATTGTTACTATTTTCATTACATAAAAATTACATACGCGAAATGGAAATGCGGTGAGAATACTGCTCTACATTACCCAATACTTACAACTCGTCCTTATACAATCTTCTTGATGAACAAGAGACAATATATTTAAATCTTGTCCTCATACGATCTTTTTCATTGAAAAAAAAAGACAACATTTGTATCCAGTTCTCATACGATCTTCTTCATTTATGAAAGAAACTAAATTTAAATCTTGTTCTCATATGACCTTTATTGACAGGAGAAACTAAATTTAAATCTTGTCCTCATACAAACTTCTTTGTTGACAAAAAACCAACATTTAAAGCCAGTTCTCACACGATCTTCTTCATTGATGAAAGAAACTAAATTTTAATCTTGTTCTCATATGACCTTTATTGACAGGAGAAACTAAATTTAAATCTTGTCCTCATACAAACTTCTTTGTTGACAAAAAACCAACATTTAAAGCCAGTTCTCACACGATCTTCTTCATTGATGAAAGAAACTAAATTTTAATCTTGTTCTCATATGACCTTTATTGACAGGAGAAACTAAATTTAAATCTTGTCCTCATACAAACTTCTTTGTTGACAAAAAACCAACATTTAAAGCCTGTTCTCACACGATCTTCTTCATTGATGAAAGAAACTAAATTTAAATCTTGTCCTCATAATTTTGACCTTCATTGACAGGAGAAATTAAAATAAATCTCTGTCCTCACACGCATTTCTTCGTTGATAAATGATACGAGTATGCTCTTGTCTTAAGATACTTGATATGTACGTGACTCTATACTCGTTAACAATAATTAATGTGTCAAACAGACACAGTTACGGACTGAAAGACTCATCAGTCATTAGTTGTACAGCCCAAACAGGGCCTACAATTTGACAAATAGAATGATATTTCAGATAATGTTTGTTTTTTTTAGGAAAAATAAGAATCTTGAAATCATTTAAATGTAAGTCTCCAGAAGATTCAAAAAGAATCGTCGAATAAAGTGTGTTATTTATATTTATTGCGTCATGTTCCATTGGAGTCATAATCATTTTATTTAGCCCATCTAAGTCTTTCTCAGTGTAAACTCCTTTTTGGAGCTGAATTCGATAAAATATTCAATAACTTCCCATCTGAGAAACAGATGTTTATTGGATTAGACAAGGTTTTGTTGGCCCACTAATTTTTGTAACCAAAATTGATGTAATTAGTAAACTAGACGAGAATTAGCGGATTGTATTGCATCTTAGCGTAAGAATTCTGAGCTTGAAGAAATAACGTTCATTTTTGTACACGATTAGCTATATATTATTCATCGAGACACTTACCTATTTTCGAGTGAAATTGACTAAAACTTGTTTACATTCAATTTATGTATAATGATTCTCTCACTCGATAAAAAGTATTGCTCTATTCTCTTAAAAAAACTTGGGCAAGTTTTCGATAGCACAAGACTTTTCTACATCTTTCTATCTAATTCGTGTACATCTTCATGAATGATGTGCAATTTTGTACGTCAAATAAACGAAAATGCATGATTGCGAAATATTTCTATCTCATTATGCAGTCCTAATGTATCGTAATCGTCTTGATGAACTGCAATGTAACGCTTAATCTAATTTCAATCATATTGTTACAAAATACTTAAGTGCAGCTTATTCGGCAGTGCTTTGTCGTACAGATTGTCACGAACTAAATTGTGTTTCTTTTTATCAAAATATTAGTATTTAATCCAAAACACTGTGTGTTAAACCTAAGATCTTAAAATCAAATTTAAGTCAAAGTGAATTTGACAGTGACAGCAGATCTAGGAAGAAAGTTTCCGTTTGTGGAATAATTTCCTGCGTCACCCATCATCAGTATTAAATGCAGCATATGTTCACTAGTTAATGCTGTTTCTGGTTGTTCACTAAACAAATTTTCATTGTATTCAATTTCAAAAATTCTTGAAACAGTGCTCATTCCGTTGGTTACAACTCTATCATTGAACATGGATGTCGGATCTGTTGAAGGGTATAAAGTTCCTGTACAACCGAAAAGTCTGTTTCTTGTACATCTAGCTGGGTTGTCATACAATAATGCTCTTGTGTCCAAACAAGAAAGAAGCTGTCTTTCTTCAGGTGACAAACCATTTATAAAAGCTGTCCACTGCCGATTGCCAATACTTGATTGGTTGGTGTAATAAGAAACCTTCCTTAACAATGAAATTGTTTGATCAATTGTCACATTACAGTTTTGTTTCTTGAAGTGTGATATCACGCAACACCATGCGTCAACACTGAATTTGTTAGAAAACCCTTTAGTGGTTTCAAAATGAAGGGTATCTTCAAGGTGTTGTGTAAATAATCTTTAATTCAGTGTAAGTTTCATTTGAAAGTGTGCAATTTCACTTTTGGGTAAAAGTTGCATGCTGACTTAATTTCCAAATTCTCGATTAGCTGTCCAAGTAGGATTTAAAGCAGTTGTGGCTAATGATATATTATAATTCTTCAAACATATTATCAATGTTTCCAGCTTGTCTATTAATTTTCCTTAACAAAATTTGATGAAGTTGGTTTAATAGATATGTATCTTGAACTGTTATCCCTCCTACTCTCTAGTCCGATGCTTCACGCTCGTTGTCTGATTATTGCTTTTCATTAAATCAGACGAGCAACATTTCTAAATTTTTGCCCCATTTGTAAAAAATTGAGTTAAAATAATATGGTAAATGATTTTAATCCTCTCGAAGTATCTCAGTGTTGTTTATTCTTTTACCAACGTTTCGCCAACAGCCGTTTGGTCTCATTAGATCGAACGTAAAATTATAATATACAAACAAAGCAGTCATACATGATTGATTAATAACGATAATGTATAGGAGATATCAAAGCGATTGCTTTTCTTACTCATATTTGTACGATGTAAGATTAAAATGCAGAATATATATATATATATACATGTTGTAAAAATGTAATGTAATATACTACTTAATAATAGTGCCAAAAGGCATTTACAAACTGCCTGATAAAAGGCAATATAGTCAATAAATATATCCAATTCTGAACAACAGAAGAGCGATATGGTTGTTATTAATAATGAAAATAAGATGAGTCAGGAGTGTACAACTCTTTTATAAAAAAAAAACTTTTGGTCAATATTGCGCCGCTTAACACTGCCTCTTCAGGACCATTACATGGTGATATGGTAAGTGCCTCAAGCACAACGACAGAGGAAAATACAGGACTATATCTTAGTCTATACATGGTCTCCTTCAAATTCCAACTACAAAACGATGTCTTTAAGCGCCAATTAGTGTGCAAATGCAAACCCGCGTTGATATGAATTATTCTTTTCATTTGATAAAATTATTTTGTATAGCAAAACGAATAGTTTATATCTATCTATAGAAAAAAAAAAAAAAATAAAATAAATTTTTTATTACATAATGTATTCCTAGTAATCTGATGATTTGCTTATTTTTTTACATGTAAAAATAAATTACTTAAGCGAACTGAATGTGCAAATTACCAATTAAATACTATGATGAACATACTATGTATTAACAAATACACCAAACGACAAAAAAAAAAAAAACGAAAAAATATAAATGTACAGTACAGAGCGCTAATGTATTAAACTAACATTAGTTTAATTTTTTTGTCAAAATAAAGTTTTTCTTTTAAACAAACGTTAGTCTTGTAACTTTATTTCATTTGTGCGTGCGAAACTTACACCCAATAAACTGTTTGAATAAAAATCCGTCAATCAAAAAGCATGTTTGTTTATTTAAAAACTTCCTTTAGTTAATTTAATTCAAAACCCAAGCATATCATAAAAAATTACCTATTTTTATAAAAATGAATAAATCAAGTTTTCACATATTAATAAAATAAAACAGCTTAAGTATGTTTTTGATGCAACAACTGACTCAAAGAAATGTATAGTATACGAATAAATACAGCTTGTGGGTTTGACTTAGTTACATGCAAAAATTTTCTGGACAAGATCTACGGACACTATTGTATTGAAATTTCAAAACAATTCTTGGCAAATCAACAAAAAATTGTTACCTAAAAATATTTTATCATAGAATACGAAAAGTTACGTATTAAAATTTATTTCAACAATACTTATTTTATATCAAGTCAATAACAAAATGTTGCAATATTTGTCTCAAAAATTTCAGTCACTTTCTGTGAAGCAGTTGAGATTTTGGATAGTCTATATGAGTACATATAATTGCATGATTTCCATAATACTAACAGCTAATTACCGTCAAGTTAATAATTAAAAACAAAAAATCTTTGTCACGACGATCGACCCGATGTAATTTATGTTATTACTTTTGATCATGTTTTACTAAATAAATAAATAAATATAAACATAACAGTATATGTTTCGATTCGTCAGTGTAATAAAACGTGAACAACGCAAAAGAAATAACATTTTTAAAAACCACAAGTGTAATCGATATCGCCATTGCTAAAACACTAAGTAATACATTTGTATGACAAAATCGTATAAGGGACAGTCAAATCGTTAAAGAAAATGAGTTCTATTGAAATTTTTATGAAATTGGGCTACTTAGCAATTTTTAGTGTTTCAACTCGTGTTTCATCCATATTGTGATGTTATCTATCGTTATCATACATGTCTTTAGATATTTTTTTAAATTTTTTTACTTGAAATACTTATAAATTTCTTCAACTTAACTTTACCTTCCAGCACAATCTTCATACTTTAAATAAGTTGTCGTACTAAAACGTATTTATTTTTTTATCCTGACTCATAAACGCGACCTTGCGTTCGGTTTTACATGATAATATTAAAAAAAAGACACTGGGCCAATGTATAATTCAGAATTTATATTTTTTTTTTGTTTGTTTCAACAGCTTGATGATTGATGCAAATGAGGGCAGAAACCTTAATCAATACTTTTCACCGATAAAAAAGAAATTATCTTAGATCCCACAAGTAAAAAAACTTTTTAAAAACGTACTCACGGCATAGGAAAAACATCGTTGCTCTACAATTAGTGGAATTTTAGAAACATTTTTACATCGCTGGATGGTAGGTACAAGTTTGTCACATACTTTATCTTTACCTTCTTCATGTCCTTCTATTTTCAAAGGCATTAACATAACTACTTTACTTTTGCAAGACATTTACAGCTCTTGAACAGGCATACACTATCTTTATCTTGAAATCGTCGAAAAACTAGTGACGTTCCAGACGTCAGTCTGAATATTCGTTTAGTGCATAATAATAAAAACTAAAAATTGAATTCGTCGTGTGTGTTATTGTGACTACTTGAAACTTTTTGTTCTCATTAAAAGAAATCGTAAAAGCTCCGTTATTCGTTGAAGCATATTTAAATCATTCGTTATTTTTGACAAACATCTGGAGCAATTATTTCGTGTACACTAATATGAAACCTATTAATATGTTTGTTATTAAAACTAATGCATTTCATAATGTTTAAGTTCTACATAATAGTAAATTATTTACTTTGAAAAAAATATGGCTTTTTTTGGTGGTGTACAAACATCAGTACGTTTATATTTTTTCATATCTTTTTATCTAATAAACTAATAAAGAATGTATAAACACAAAAAGTCTAAAATACACATAAGCATATCAGCTACTTACATAAACTCAAATAAATGACCCTCCAATTCCTCATAAGTCATAAGAAATAGAATATTTGTAAAGCTTACAAAAAATATTGTACAATCAAGATCCCATATCTTCTTAGGATCCGAATACACTTAAGTAGTAATCATCACTCATAACCCGCATCAGCGAGCTTAAGTTAAATAATTTTTTCATGAAAATTTCATTGCAGCACAGTACAACTTGTCTATTTTTTTACCTCCTGTTATGTGTATACATATAATACGCGTATGGTGTATTTCTCGTAGAGATAAAAATTTATTTTAAAAGTAATAATTTTGAATTTATTTTTATCTTTGAAAATATATCTTATACATTATATTCACTTCACTTAATAAATATTTACAACCGTGATTAACGAGTCACGCTCTAGGATACATTGTTTGGAAATCGATATGAAAAGTGAGTAGCCATCGCTTAAATGGGATAAATAAATACCGTCGGCATTAGGATAAAAAGTTAAGTTTTGAAAATTCAACATTTCTACAGTATTATCTACAAATGCATCTAATATCAAATTCTTAAACCTCAACTTTTCAAGTGTTCCTTGTCTCACGTAAGTCATAATTATTTCATTAGAATTCACGCAGTATTTCGTTTTCCTACATAGTTCTGGTTTGCGCCTAGTATTTAAATTTTATATTTTTTTTTTATTTTTTTTTATTTAAGCGTAAAATTAATACCAGAATGAGTCAACGGATTTTTTTGAAATATGATAGAAAAATTGTTTTTCGTTTATGCTCTTCTATCCGCCTTTAATCACTCGTTATTGTAAAATATGTACACTGTTGGATTGAACAATCAAAGGTTACGAAAATTTGACAAAATGGGCACGTTATGGATATGGCGCCAATGGCGAAGAGGGCTAATCAGCATAAACAATAAACTGCTGATTATCCACGTCAGCCACCTCTACTTGAACAAACTGTGGCTGTTGCAGCTGAATTTGTTGTACTTGTCGGCCAATATTGTTTCGCGTTCTGAAATAAAGCAAAGGTTTCAATATCATTCTGCTCTTTGTTTAAATGTTTCATTGATAGCTGTAAACAGTTACAAGTTTTGAGAACTTACTTTGCCTTGGCATGTGTTAATATGTGTGACTTTAAATTTGTTGATTGAGCAAACTTTTTACTGCATCCATCGAATGGACAGACGTAAGGTCTGTCACCAGTATGAATCCTAACATGAGTTCTAAGATTAAAGTCCAAACTGAATCTTTTGCCACACCCTTCAAACGTACATTGAAAGGGTTTTTCTCCCGTATGAACTAGTTGATGCCTTTTCAGCTTTGAACTTTCAACAAAGGCTTTTCCACACTCTGCACATACGTGAACCCTGCAATACGAAAGCATTGAGAATAAGCCAACAAGTTAAAAATGAGTAATAACGTATTAGAGAAGAAAAAAAATACCAGACCTTGGTCCATGAGTGTGCAAATGCTTGCGCATGGCGCTATTATCCCTAAACATTTTTGTACATCCTTTGTGCGGACAGGCTATTGTACGCTCAACACCGTCGATTATTGGCGGCTTACTGCGCGATTTTAATTTATTATGATTTGGTCTGGCAAATTCAGCCAATTGCTTGGGATCTGAGAGATCCAAGCCAGGTATACCATCTGACACAGAACTACTAGAGTGGTTCAATTTGGAAACTGTCTTGCCACTCATGTACTCTGTGTAGTCTTGGTCAGGCTCTGGATTGGAGCCTTCATCTGGAACATCCACCAGGTGAGACGCTAATAGGACACTTCCTTTAACAGCAACAAACAAGCAAACCAAAACAAATACCACCTCAGTCTTTTGAACTTCATAAACTTGATTTTATTTTCTTTGATTTCTTGATTGATGATGTTTTTACTAGTTTGAGACAGTTTTATCCAGTTATTTGAAAAATATTCATAACAATTCATTTTACCTAATTTACTATCATCAAAAGGAAGATAAAAATATCTCAATCTTACAAATGTACCAAGAAAGTTAATAATAATAATGATACCCCCATGTAAAAATATTCTTTTGTGTTTTTGGTAACATTAAATTAGCAAGATAACATTTTGTACAACATTCATTAAGAATATTACGAAAAAAAATTGTATACTCTACACAAACTTGTTATGTATCATAAAGTTATATATGAAGTTAAATCGTTTAAATTTTATGTTGCCAATTAATCATTTAGCATTACAAGGAAATCCATGCATTTGATAAGCCAAGTTGGGATAAAAAAATGTTGTCAAACAAGAGGAAAAAGACTTTAGGAGCAACTGAAAAGTTATATTTATATTTTACATTACAAATGTTTAGTCATAGATTATTTTAATACAATTGGCAAAACATCGAATGAAGATTCAAGAACGACAGCCCAACATCCGGAAATTCGATGTACTAATAATTCTCACATTGAACGCAAAATATAAAATAGAAAAAAAAAAAAAAAAAAAAAAAAAACACAAAGAGTCAAAGCAAAGAGCGCTAAAAGCCAAATTATGCCTCCGACTGGCGCGTTGTCGCCATCTTCTCGAACATGGCGTCCCGTACAAAAACGTGCCTAAACACTTGCTCGCACATACACACACACACACAAGTTGCGCGCACCCTGGCCATCTTCAAAATATGGCTGCCCCCTGGATGGCGCAATGGCGGGCAGCCGCCTACACACACTGCAAGCCGGTCAAAACAAACAAAGCCGACGACTGTCAAGTCAAAGTTTTTCTGGAATTTCGGAGCAAGCACGTTATCGAGGAAAGCCAAGACCGATCAGGAAGTACGCGAGCGATCGATGGCTGCATTTGTGTTCAACTGATGCAAAAGTACAGTGCAAAATAAGCGCGTGCATGTTCCTCTGGTACTTAATTTTAAACACAACGAGTATATTTGACAGAGATTTGCTTTGTTGACAGATATATTCTAAAGCAACATTTACATATCATCGAACGTCCACAGAAATGTTTTACAGTGTGACAGGCTGCTGTGTGTATGTGTGTGGGTACGTTTTCGTTCACAGGAATGATGGGTAAATCTGGGTCCTTTGTTTTTGTGCCTTTCATTTCCAGATGCTCCAAAAATAAGTGGATAAGAATGTCGTAATGAGCCGATGTAAATCAAATTATCACTACTGCTCTAACATACTTATCATACATTCAATTATTTGTATCGATTAGAATGCGTCTAATGTTATGTTACTGTTTACAGCAGTGGTTGACTCTTGTAGCATGCCTTTGTTTACGATAGCTAAGACGATGGTGTTATGAGAAAAAGGAGTCGAGAGAGCACGCAGAGAATTTAAAAAAAAAAAATAAAAAAAAAAACTTTTGACCAGGGGTCGTAGATGTGCTTGTTGCACTTAACCTCGGTTCTAAAAATAATTGTCGCAACTAGGTAGAGAAAAGAAAGGCTAAGCACGTGGTTTCTACGACTCCGATTTCACCTTTTGAACTCTTCAGCGAAATGAGCCGCCAAAAGAAAAGGACAGCAGGAAACCGAGGGCACTCGAAAACCAACAAAGTATACATTAAAGTAATCGAATGCGACTTACCGTCGTCGGTGCCTGAGGCCCACATAGTCACTGAGAACTCGCCCTCGAGAGTCTTGATCTGCACTTGCTTCTGTTCCCACTTCCTGGCTTTCGCCTCGGCTGGCATTTCGGTGAAAACAGCGTGCTGTTGTTCGGCTGGCCTAAACCTCTGGGCAGCAGCAGTGGCGGCAGCTGAGCCGGCTGTGCTCTTCCTGGCTTTTTTTCTGCCCGTGGAGCTTGTCGTCGTTAAGATGGTAGGCACGGTGACGGTGCCCGCTACCTGCCTCGAGGGCCCGGGGCTCGACTCGATGTATATGTCCGCTTGGTCAGGTACCGGGATTTGATCGTAGACGGAAAGCGGATCCCCACCCACGATCTCTTCCTGGGTCTGCAGTATGATATCCTCCTCACGGACCGTTTCCGGCAGCGCCTGCAAGGTTATCATGGCCTGGTGGTGGTGCTGCTGCTGCTGCTGCTGGTGGTGCACGTGTGGATGGTGTAGCTGCTGCTGCTGTTGTTGATGTAGGTGGTGACGGCGGTGTTGTAAGTGATGTTGGTGGTGGTGTGGTTGGTGATGTGGCGTCACTATTTCATCCTCGTCTTCGTCGTCATCTTCTTCATCCTCTTCCTCGTCCTCCGAGTCCCCAATAATCGTCTCCTCGATCGTTTCGCACGGCATGTCTACGGGAATGGACTCGATCTCAACCTCCTGGATGTCCGGCTGGATCTCGACCTCGGCCATCATGTCCGAGGACGCCATATTAATGTCGCCTGTGGACGCCATGTTTTCCTACAGACCAGTTGCAGCGCTTCTCGACTAGCGTAGGCAATGATGGCGGCTTTCGAATATCAAGATAAAGCGGGTATCCCCCTCCCCCCTAACCCTAACACACAAACATGGCTGCACTATGCAAGTGCAGATCTGCAGATTCTTGATCGTCGCAGTGTGCGCGGCTCTCTTCTCTTTGCTTCTTTACACGCGCATGAGGGCCACTTCACAATTTACACTCACACCGCGTGACTCTTGTCTTGTTTTGTGACGTCAAAATTCGGTAGGCACGGGCACTGCACTCGATTTTTGGAGTCATTTGGCGTAAGAAAACTGGCCGAGTCGCATATTCCTCAAAGTGATTGTGGAATGGCCCTAATGAACATGAATTATTACGCAGAAAAGCTACTGTTCATTCAAAACCCTACACTACTTAGCTAATCTCTGTTTAAAACAAATCTTTTGGATGTTAACTGTAAGTTTTTTCCTCTCCATTCAGGCTTAGAACACAATCAAAATCGTGTTTGACTATTGAGCGGTATATCAATGAGACGGAGTTTGTTGTTTCGTACTGAAAAAAACAAAATTTAAAAAAATGTTTCATGTGCTTACTTGAATTCGATCATTTCGTACTTCGGGGTTATCAAGATTTTTTTTGTTTTTCAACCATTTATTTGATTAACAGTTAAACACCGCCGTTTATTTTACGTAGCAAGTTCGTCTCGATAAAAAATAAGCGGTCTTTATTTTTACCGTATAATTTTTTTCACAGTATACATTATGTCCTTAGCTTTTTCGGTTAGATGGGAATAATGTATAAAAATTAACCA